TAAAGAAACCTCAGTGGAGCCGATTGTTCACGAACCAAGTAACAGCTTGTTCATCATTCTCCCTCGGGATTACAGTGCAAAGGTGTTTCGTGGAATCGCCCGACTAAAAGTGGTAAGTGAGGCAGTATGTCCCCCTGGTTAACAGATCACCTTTGGCCTTGAAATACGTTTCAACCAGGCTAGATAGATGGGACAAAGGAACAAAGCGTAGATTTACGACAGGATTGTCTCCACTACTGATCTTCCTTAAATCGATTAGGGTTCAATTATAACCAGCCACGACCCCTTACCGGTTAGTTCCAGGGAGCGATTTTGATGACGGAGCCAGATCAAGTGGATGAACTAGCTATACAAGCAATTTCACTGTCATTACACTTATGGCACCGGTATTAATCAGTGATAAGCGTGATAGAATCAATGTGATTAATTGACAGCTGGAACTGCACCATTTTGTGTCGTATTTTATTCGAAGATTTCAATGTTTCGTTTTGTTCCAAACAAACTGAGCCACCTTTACTGAATATGGCTCAATATACCATAAAGTTCAACTATTACTTACATTTTAATTCGCTTCGTTTTTAACTGAATACTCTTTACTTAATTACCACACAACTTTGACAAGGTTATGTGTATTTGCATCCATAATATATGGTAAAATCATCGAGTATCTTGCGAATAAAAGGAAAGTCATGCACTGTCAGCTCGACCTCTTCTTTGAATACGAGTTTTTATATCCCTCGAGTGTCTTGTATACAAACAGCTTACACATATGTTCTCTCGTAATAAGACCAAATTTCAACGATAAACTGACTTTCATCCTTCTTTGTTGCATCTTTATAAGATAATAATGAAGTATGCACATTACTCTAAATCCCATACATCATTCTGAGAATTTATCGATAAATTATTTTTTTCTGAAATAACAACTGGAATAGGCAGTCAGTAGTGATGAGAAAAGTAAAAGGCAACGTGTTTTTTACACCAGAATATTTTCAAAAAATGTTGTACAAAGAATCTGTTCGCAAATATCATTATCATCTTCTTGTAATGACGACTTTTGGTATTCTTGACTTCATTTCACACACCCACACACACTTTAATTGACAAACCGTCGAATGTGGGGAAATGTGACGAGTGCAGCTCAGCTGTCATCCTGTCACTTTTCATTTGCCTGATTGTTTTTTAAAATGAAAAGAAGATCTCTATTCTCTCTCGTCGTTTCAACCACATTGTCTACTTTCTTTTCCTCGTCCGAATTCTGTCAATGGAACCGTTGCATGCAATCGTCCCCGATGTCGGCTATCAGGATTTGACTGGTACGCATACACGACAACCGGCAAAATGGGTTATCACGCCGGAATTCGACATTACGGATATTTTACACTTTAATGGTGAAAACGAGTTTATTTTCCTGGGCACTGGACCGGATTCGAAAAATTCGCACGTATTTTTGTACGTTCGTATTACACATTACGTTAGTCGCTTACAGTCACCGGTAAACCCTTAATGACGCAATTCTTGAACGTGTTTTCTCATTTCCCCACTATTCGCCAGCTGTTGCTTCGCAACAGTATTGGATTGATTTCACCTGGTTTGCGATTCCTTTTTCAACAGTACCATTTAATCACCTATTGGTTTCTCTTTTTTCACTTCTTTAGAACTAAGGTTGCATCCTGTCATTCTGTTTCACGACCATGGCATTTTTCGTGTGGGAAAATGCTTTAAGAATGATGTCTGGGCATTCATAATCGATCGTTCAAAATTACATTCCGCACAGTCCTGAGATCATCGTCCCAGTAGTATGCCCGCAAACCATCGGACTCGAGCTTTGACTCCATTACACTTTATCAGCAGTTTGTATCTACCGGGCTATTCTGGGTTCGACTTTCGAACCCTGGGCAGTGTGAGAATCAGTCAATGCACGGAGCTGGATAAAACAAAATTCAAGGTGATGCATATTTATTGTCTTCTGTCAACTTCTGACCCGACACATAAGAATGGTTGGCTGAATGAATAGAATATGCGTGAAACTGAAGGCTCAAATGTGGTAATCCACAAACAGTAATGCCCTATGAACATAGTTAATCACGAACTAAACTTAAAACTTTCTGGTATGCTCCGATTGTCCAATTCATTGGCTTTCTGGAGATTGGCGTAAAAGGCAAGCAAGTTGTTTGAGGTCACCGGGGTATCTAAGTCTGCAGGAGGTTATGACCGCTATACCGATGTTTAGAAAACCCATGTCCTTCGCGGGTGTTAGCTCAAAATGGAAAGCTTAATGCGCAAAGAAAATAGCGATACGAATTGAAAAAGGGTCGGGCATCATTTTTAGCTTATTACATTTCCGATTGTCGCGGAGTTCCGCGTTATTTGCACAAAAACGATACTTTTTGTTTAACTCTATCTTTGTGTATTTTTATGCCTAATCCTGGTCACTACGCTGCAACAAACTCAATTTCGGGGCCTCTTTAGTGCCCATTGGCCTCCATTCCACATGTTCCAGTGTTACATCACAGCGGCAAATTATGTATTCATCTTCATCTTTCAACTGTTGTCTATTGTTTATAGTAGGCTATAATAGTTCATATTTAACCGTATATCCTGTGGGATAAACGGAATTACTCACCATTAGGTGGAAGTTATAAAATGAACTGAAAGTCAATTCAAACCGGTGGAATCGAAGCGGTCACCTAAGCCTTCATGCAATCGCGGACGAACTCTGTGCAAAACATGAGGGGATAATTTTGGTCGTTTCCGGTTTGAGTTTGTTGACGCAATGTCAAGCAGCACACCGTCTATACAAGTTATCCGAGGTTCAAATCCCGAACGAGCCGGCAAAAATACATCACTAATTAACGAGAGCGAAACTGGAGTTTTGTGCTTCCTGAATGCGTGGTTGAGTGGATGAATTGAGGATTTTGCGTGACAATAATATCGTTGTGCACCGTGACACAATCTTCACAAGCACACCTGTTTTGAGCATTGTTCTTCTTTTTTGTTCTACTCCCTCTCAGCGGAACAACAACGGATAACAATGTGAAGTGTTTGACCTGTGGCAATGAGAACTGCACATACAATCGAGCCAGAGTCTCCAATTGCGGAATGTTTTTCGTCCAAGAATGCCGGGGCCCAGATGTACCAACATTTATTTTGAATAAGGTCAACAAAACAAGATTGGAATCCGGGGGTATGTGACCGTATTTTTTTGGCTTACTCTATTCTCTTCGTATTTCAGTCTGAATAATCTACGTATAATCTGCCTTATCATTTCCTTGATGATAAATAAATAAGGCAATATCAGTATACTTCTCTCAAATTTTGTGGAATATAGAAAAAGTGATCTACGATGTTGCTTCAGCATATGAGAGTGCAACACAATTATGTGATAATCGAAACTAACTGAATTTCGTATAAAACGTTTGTTGATGCAGTCTGTTTCCCCGGGGAAAAAGTGGGAATGTTACCAGTGATCTTTTTGTCATCATGTGAATTTAAAATCATTTGCGAGTGATTTACTAAAGACTCCTCACAATGATGTGTTGTTGGGATTTAAATAGTTGGAAAATGCCTTCATCGAAGTCTGATGGAAACTTGAGTAAGGAAACGACTCCGGATGAACTGGACGCTTTCGATAGGTCTGACCCAAAATGATGCTTGGTAAAGAACGATAGAATGTAGCTGTTTCATGGTCAACCTTACCCCAGTTGATTGACAATATTTTTTTTATTTGAACTGATCGTCCTTCAGAATTCACCTTCAAACTGAATCCTCAGTTCTTCCAGTCAACCATACGCTTGGAAGCTCTAGATTCGAATTTCGCTCTTATTAGAGCTCATCAGTAGTGCATATGCACTGTCCCATCCCGGGCTTTGAACTCCGGGCTTATCGCATGGAAGGCGTGCGTTACCACTGTGCCAACCAATCCATACCAGGGCTGAAAGGAACTACCAGTTTATGATGTTGTCTTCAGTGATTGTCAGTCAGTTTATTTTAGGCCCGACTCAATGAAGGAAGACACAGTTGACCACTTGTTAACTTCAGTCGAAAGTCTCCCACTAAATCGGATCTTCTATGCAGGTTACGGGCTAAATGGCCATAAAGTTATTAGGCTGAATCGATAATTCGCATTAAACTCAATTACTTGTGAGTAGCGGTGTGGGGCGAGATAATTGATATTGATTTGATCTAACCATCCTTCATAAATTAGTTCAAATCAATAGCGATCATCTCATACGACTACTTACAACTGATTTTGAGCTACATGTGAAGTATCATTTGAGCTAACCCCACCAACTCAAGCTGAATCTTTGTAATTTGCTGTGGTAGTGAAATTCGTGTTTCCAATATACCTGCATCCATGTGTTGGAAACAAATAGTGTAACCATCGTTTACTCTATAAATTTAACTATCACAGGTACTTCTGAGGATAAATTATTTTTGAGATCAGCTTATTTACTTGTTTGCTATCAAATACACGGAAAAGAACACCAACAAATATACTGTGAATACATGTTTGACCTCAATTCTGTACTCGTTCAATAAATTAATTTTTTGTCCATTTGTTTTTCTCATGCCAGACTTGTTGGTGGAGGCAGTGCCGGTTCGAGTGTTGCAGGACAATAAGGAATTCAAGACCGTTTTACGTGAACGTGCCCTGGCCCGAATCGAATACATGCATCTCACTTTGCGCAAAGGCACTCGTGACCAAATGGAAGTTGAGGCGAAATTATGGTTACCACCTGAACTGAATAAATCTCACATAACCAAATATCCTTTGTTGTTATATACGTGAGTTCTCATGTTTTCTGATTCGGTGTCAAATACTTCTGCGCAAGTTTCTAACACGTCTGTTTGTCTCATTTCTGAGACACAAACTCGATATAGTTTGCTGAGGGATGAGGTTAAAACAACCACCCAGATTTTCGGCCATTCACACAAAACTGCGATTATTTCCTGACCACTTTTTGTAAACAGTTTGGTGATTCTGGCTGATGTGTTGTTGTTGTTGTTGTTGTTGTTGTTGTTGTTGTTGTTGTTGTTGTCCGCGTACCACAGTCAGCATCCCATCGCCCTATGCATAATTCGACACTTTTAAGGGTCCATTTGCAAAATAGTAACAAAAACACAGATTGATTCTGCAAGCTATCAGTGCTTGAAATTCGCCATTTCATTACCCAAATAAGGAAATGTTTCTAATGGAAATGCAACGATTGAGCAAACATAATTGGAAACTGGGAACCATAAACGTACTTTGAAAAAGACTAATCATGTTTTCATGATTGACTCTCTAAAAGGTTAGTGGTCACGCGGTCCAACATTTGGTTTTGTCATTTTGCGGCTTAACATGGAACCTACATACTATTCTAGGATAGTTCCGAGACGTTGTGAGACACCATGGACTGTTTGAAGGTTCGCGCAATAAAATATTATTCACATGCAAGGCGAGTAATAACTCACTCTATCGTTTGTCAAAAAAGGTGTTTCGCGTGAGAAAACAAATGTTAAATCCATGGCCAAAAAAGGAGATGTGCACTTAATCGCTTCAACGTTTGTCATAGTGTTAATATAAAAGTTCCAGAATGTGGTGTTGCAGAATGCAACCTGAGATTCGCAAAACTTGGCCCATGCACATTAGTTTGTAGGTTGAGGGTAGAGCAAATGACGGCCATATCGTACATCTAAAAATAATTCATCTCATTCACATACTTTGTATTGATGATTGAATCGGGAGTACCAAATCACTGATGCCATTCTTTGCAGAGACCTAGCACGATCTGGATAGGCGAACTGAGCATTTGTTTAGAAAATTTAAGTGGTTATGTGAAATTTTGGACAGCTGACAACAGACCGTATTTCGGACACCCCAAACCAATTGTAGTCCCCTGTGTGTTGTAGTTTAACCGCATGGCAAGATGTTTCCACTTATGAATACACCGATAGTTTCCAGTGAAACTAATCAAATATGTAAAACGAAACTAAAAAGAAAACCCTTTTCATCAACATATGTTTTTGTTTCCATCCTCGCAGCTCTAGACATTCCGCACGAAAGGTAGAAGTGGAAAGCTTTGCCGTAGCACATTGACTTTGCTCATTTATCAATGGCACATCAGTAGTAAGAGTCTTTCCACACGAAAGATGTCATCATGATAGAGATGGTAACAGCCTAATTACCATTCGCGGATAGTCTGGTCATATCTGTCATCCTTGCTATGCCCTTACGTGCCGTGTTAACTGATCATTGTACCGAAGGTTATCAGTTCACTTCATACAATGGGCACAAATCTACACTTAGCCTTGTCAGCTGTGGCGTTCCTCAAAATGTGATTTGCTGCTCTCCTCGGCAAAATGTATGCCGAATTCCTCAACCAGGACGTAGTATAATCTGAAATGTTTCCTGCCCGTTAACCAAACAATTTTCCTGATTTAGCAAGATTCCGCACGCACGTGTTGATTACCGAACTAAGATAATTGATTGAATGAATGTCAAAGTTGTATCATTTGCCCCGCGACATAATTCTTTTTTCTATACTTTTGCAACTGATCTCAATATATTTGTGCAAGTACACCACGGAAAGCTAACCTTCTCTGCAGAATAAAGTAAGCGGAATCCAGGACTCGAACGCAACTCCCCTTTGTCGGTACAGTGAATTTCGAAAAAT